CTTATTATTTATTGTAGTGTCAAACTCAGAAAGGCATAAGCTACATACTTTTTCTCATGGGCAGACTCTGAATTGAACTATAAGTGTGTGTGTGTGTGTGTGTGTGTGTGTGTGTGTGTGTGTGTGTGAGATGAGACTAGAAAGAGCATGTATGAGGGAAGGAAAGATCTGGAAGAAATAGGAAGAGAGTAATGGAACACATGAGACATGAAAGCAGAAGGAAGGACTATTTAGGGCTGAGAGAAGAAGGGGCGGGAGGGGAGGACAGAGGGACCAAATAAGAACAAAGCATAATGACAGCTACATATGAAAAACACCACAGTGAAACCCATTGCTTTGTACCCCAACTTTAAGACAAATTCATTCCTAGAAAATACTGTTTATTCTAAGCCCACCATCTCTTATCTTAAATAGGAGCCCCTAAAAACATGTTTCAAACAGACTTTTTAAGTGTAATAATCTTAAACACTAATGTTAATGGCATTAACTATTAACATTAATGATATGGAGTCAATAGTATGAATTTTGGCTAGAAACTGCCATCTAGGAAGATTTGGGTCTTGAGATCTACCGTCCCTTTGTTGTATAGGGACAAGCAGGATGTGTGTGTGGGGGGGTGACGCTCAAACTGACTAGGGTCAGGTTGAAACTTTCTTCTTCGCAGATTCAGGGTAGAAAGAGGGTTAAAAATGGAATCACTTCTGTACCTAGAGAGCCCTTGACGCCAGGGGTTCCAACCCACATTTGAAAACCGAGATGTCAGAGCAGGAAGAGTGTACAGGAGGACTGCCTCCGGGCTGCGCTTGGGAGAACCTAAATTTAGGTTTCGTTTAACACATCCTTACACCCTGTGTCATTTTCTTATTTATAAAATGAGAAGGCCTGCCACTTTACTAAGAGGGCTATGACTTTAAAAAATATTTTACTTTTATCATCATTTATTTTCCGCACCTGAAGTCTTTTGACACCATGTTTTGAGCTCCTATCAGGAGACAGGACAGGAGAAGACGTCGTGCAGTTCACGCTACTTCTTTGCCCTTCAACACTTCACCCTTTTAAATGACAGTGAGGGAAATATATGCTTCTTTATTTAAAGGCTTAATTAAGTAAAGGTACATGTAGCTCATATATGAGTCCAGGACTTTTCACCGCTGCGCCCCCCTCCCCCCCCCCGAGTCCAGGGAAGATTAAAGTGGCAGTTTCCAAATTGCCCACTAGAGGGCGCGCACTTTATTATTATTATTATTATTATTATTATTATTATTATTATTATTATTATTATTATTATTAAGGAAAGAGCCTGGGTGGGTTCTCTTCCTCATTCATTCAGGTATTTCTCTCCTCAAACATCTCTTTTCTACTTATACACACACACACACCTACACATACATACACACCCACACACCTACACATACACATGCATACCTTCACACACACATACCTACACATACACATACACATACATACACATACACACACATACCTACATACACACACATACATACCTACACATACACATGCATACACATACACATACACACATACCTACACACATACACACACACTGACATCAATGTCAGCAACAGCAGTAAAGATAAAAATTATCACAACATGGCCTTTGAAGGCGGTGCCTCTCCAATGAACAAAGAGAAAATTGGCACTTTGACTCAAGCAAAAAGACCAGGGGACCAGGGGACCAGCTATTGCCCCATTTTCGGCTGCTCTCAGGCAACCTTCACTTTCTGAGAATGAACAAGTTTGTTTTATTTATTTCTTGAGATAGGTGTGAAAGTCTTCCGGAGCTGCAGCTTTATGCAAATAGACCACTCCAGTAGAAGGCTGGAGGGAGGGTTAGTTATTTATATCTGACAGGCCTTACACATGTGAAAGGTGAGGCTGTGCGAGCCTCAGGCTCCAGAGCGGATGCTCTCATGATGAGCACATCTTTGCAGTTAGCCATTTTTGTGGCATACAGTTCCCATGTCTGTTAGATTCTGTCTCCACAGAACTGTGTAAGCATTCAGCAGCTTCAAAATGACCTCAGCTATTCCTCCCCAGGGTGGTTTCTGGCCTGATCTCCTCCTGGGTACTAAACTTATTACCACCTTGAGCTTCCGGTAGATTTCCCCCCTGCCCTGCCCCATGTTAAAGGCCTTTTACTCTTCACACTGATTCCTAGAATTTACAAAGAGCATGGATGTTCTCCAGGGATTATTGCCCCTGTTCTGCTGCCGGCTCCCCCTCCCTGCTAACACACACGGTTCTCCAGTTTAAAATGTATGTGGATCACTCCAGGAAACCACACCCCACTCCCCAAAGGAAACTGGTGTTCCCATCAGAGTGGTTCCACAGCACAGCTGATGACGATTACCATGCACTGAAATTCAGTTTTCTTTGATTGGGACATACACTGGTACATAAATTAAAACTCAATTATCCTTTAAGGGTAAGTGGGTTATAAAACCAAGTGGGTCCCTGTGTTGTTGACACTGCTGGAGTGCAGTATCTGAGGAAATGGTCTGTGTTCTGTCCTCAAAGCAGACCTTCAGATGAAGCAGTCAGGGATAACTTGATCTGTTCTGTGCACGGCATAGCATAACAGTACGGCACTTCAAGACACCCCACGGCATGGCATGGTACCACACAACACTGCACGGCACATCACGGCATAGCACGGCACAGGACATCACAGAATATCACAGCATGGCACAGGACATCACAGAGTATCACATCACGGCATAGCACAGCACAGGACATCACAGAGTATCACATCACGGCACATCACGGCACAGGACATCACAGAGTATCACATCACGGCATAGCACGGCACAGGACATCACAGAGTATCACATCACGGCACATCACGGCACAGGACATCACAGAGTATCACATCACGGCATAGCACGGCACAGGACATCACAGAGTATCACATCACGGCACATCACGGCACAGGACATCACAGAGTATCACGGCACTGCACAGTGCCCAGAAAGCCCAGACTTGCAAGCTTGGAGACATGCGGCAAGCTTCTAGAATGTACTGAGACATTAAAGCTCACTACATCTGTCCTGGGAAGAAAGGATTGGCAGTGCTGGCTGGCCTGTGAAGGAATCCAGTGGTAGAACAAGGAAGGGATTGCTACCCGGACTCCTGCCTGGACCCGATTCTCCTGACTGAGAAACTGAGACGTTCTCAGCAGGTCGTTGGTTCCATATTATGTACGTCATTAAGCGGAAGATGGGCTTTTATTTATTTATTTATTTATCTATCTATCTATCTATCTATCTGACGAAAAAGAAAAAGGTCTCCCATATGTCATCGAGCCGGATGCTCCAGGAGGCTTGTTGCTAGAGGGAGCCCGGGGTTTCTCTGTGTGCAGGGACTGCCCGCACAATGTCACACAGCCAGGACCACCCAGTGATGATGCAGTGTTCTCTGAGTCAATGCTACCCACAAGAACTTCCCAGCCCCGTGCCTCTCACATTGTATTCTCTCCTCCCTATGCTCCATTTCCAAAAGAGGTTTTCACCCTCACCTCCCTGAGACACTGTTGCCCCTCCCGCTGTGTACCGCTCATGTATCTTATAGCTGCACGTGTTCAACACGTGGCAGTGAAGTTTTGTGCTCCTTATTGGATTCTTTACAGGTATGTGTAATTGGGCACATAGTAGGTGCTCTTGTCAAATGATACCTAACATCACCCACCACCGGAACAGCCTAACTCCAGGGTTCCAATGTCTGTGTCTGAAAGGTAAACATTGCCATAAAGTATTAAGCACACAGAGGGTTGGAACAAGCCCAAACCCCTTGCAAAATTAAACTGGTTTCATTTGAGGACATCCACCTCTGCAAAGCAGATCTCCAGCCATGGGCAGCATAACGAGGTAGTGTATAGTTTCCAGCTGACCGCTCTCTCCACTGATGTGTTAGTATCTTCAAACCCCTGGAGAGTCGTGAAAGAGCGAGGAGAGTCAGGCTCATTTCCATCTCCCCTGGGAAACCACACCTAAGAGACATCCAAGGAAAGCACAATCGAATCTGGCTTTTGTAACCTTCTTTCATAATTCACTTTCTTATCTATTGCATCTCAAAACCACTGAGAAATAGGTACAAACCGTAGCAACAAAGGATCAGAACTTAATGCTCTACGGTGAAGGCAAGTATACATTATAAATAGCAAAGCAGCCGGCTTGAACCAGGCTGCCAGCCACTTACCCAGTTGAGGGATTTGAATGACATCATAACCCTGGAGAGGGTATTGCTAGCCAGCTGGTATTATTGGAATACACACCACACACACACACACACACACACACACACACACACACACACAGAGTTATGCGAAAAATATGGCCAACAGGGAACCCGTGTGTGCCTCACATACTGTTTCCTTGGGGTTGAGGAGGTGAAAGGCAGCCAGCTTTGTTGAAAAATAAGGTCGTTTTATTTTTCAGTTGGTTCCAGAGCTCAGCATCGTCTTTTGCTCTGCACAAAGCACGACACAGTCCTAATGGGAGCCAGCCCGCTGCTGCCTGCCGTCTATAGGTTTTAGGAAATGAGATCATTCTCCTGGCTTGGCAACTAGGACAAGGGGTCACCGGAGCGCCACCTTTCAAACTAATTTAGCCTGGCCATCTCAAGGCTAACATCGTTGGACTTTCTGGAGATGATCTTTTCTTCCTTTTCTTTTTTCTTTTTTTCTCAAATTTTTATTCGCCCTAAAATATAAAACTGCTCCCTTGTCCCACTTAGATCCTCTAATCCTGGAAGGTGTGTGACAGGCATGTGTACCTTCGTGCCCTGTGGAAAGTTAATCAGAGAGCAACCCCTGTTTTCTATGGCAGCATCAGTATTTAGTGTCTGCTAACCCTGTCAGTAACACACATTCTTTTAAGAGGGAAAAAAAAAAGCTTCTGTGCTCCAGTTTTTTAAAAGCAAAGGTATGATGTTATTTGTCACTGTGCCCAAAAAAGTCCTTACTCGATAACTTTGCCAGAAGAGGGAGAGAGAGAGAAGGCAAATGCTCCCCCAGCTGTTTCCTGTCTACAGTGTCTGTGTTTTGTAGATAAATGTGAGGATTTTCTCTAAATCCCTCTTCTGTTTGCTAAATCTCACTGTCACTGCTAAATTCGGAGCAGATAGAGCCTGCGCAATGGAATAAAGTCCTCAAAATTGAAATGTGACATTGCTCTTAACATCTCTCATCTCTCTGGGTTTCTTCTTGCCTCGTTATTCCTGCTCACCAATTCACTTCCAGACTTTGTACTGCAGAAGCAATGGGAAAAATCAGCAGTCTTCCAACTCAATTATTTAAGTGCTGCTTCTGTGATTTCTTGAAGGTAAATATTTCTTATTCTTTGGACTCATTGGGGAATTGTATTTAAAATGTGCACTCTTTTCTTTTGCCGGGAATTGTTATCCACTTTAGAATTTGCATTGTTTCAGAACTGGGAGTTATTTACAAGTTGCTGAATGTGCAGTTCTGAGGGAGCCGTGAAAAGAGCTCCGGGAGGTGAATGCAATCGCAGAGATATCTGTGTGTACCGGTAGAACTATTGCAAGGTACTTACGCTAAACCTTCCACTTCTACAGGGCTTCCGCGCTGCCGTTTTAAGAGGCTCCTTTAAATCTTGCCTATGGCTCGGGGCTAGAAAGCATGGGTATGAACTTGGGGTGTGCTTTTCTTTTCACAGGTGCAGGCGTTTGCTTTTTAAGACCATGTTCCTGTGTGTCTGTCTCTGTGTGTGTGTGGAATTCGTCAGGACTTTATTTACGAGGCATGTCACAGATTAAAAGTTACATTTTAGACAATAAGAAAGCTTTTAAAATGTGCTTTTTGGAGCCAAGAATCAGGAATTCTCTGCGCTTATGCCCAGAAAGTCAAAGTTAAAGTGAAGTTTAATTTGCTTTTCTGAAAAAGAGCTCTTAGACAACTTGCTGTCTTTGCATATTCAGAAAATTTAAACAGATCCACGCCGTGCTGGGAAAGCAGGAGCGTTCTGGCGGCAGCTTGTCCAACTTTTCTCTTTGGAAGGGGACTTTCGTGGACTGAGTTTCGGCTTGGGTTTCGGGCTGCAAGCCTCTGCTCTTACATTGGGTGCAGTAAAGTCTCTTTAGGTGAATCTGGCCGCGGCTGCCGCTGTCAACGCACTGACTTCTCGTTTCCGATCACTGGCTCTAGTTCAAGTTTCCATTCTCAGCAAAATTATATCCTTGCAGACTTGTGTTTTTTCAATTTGCAAGCACTTTCAAGCCGCTGTCCCTGGCTCCTTGGAGGCAGTTGCCGGAGGGCTTAATTCGTAAACGATCCCAGCCAGAGCAGAGCGCAGCAGCGTTTCTTCGCTGCTTTCAAATGCTTCATGGCTAGGACTTCTTAGGCAAGTAAGTGGCTGGGGAGTTAGGGAGACAGCCTTGTCACACACCTAATTCTGCCCTCCTTGAGATGCCAGCAGGCTCCAGGCACCTTACAGGAATGAAGTCAGCGTTCACATACGCTGTGTGGCCTGGCAGCTGGGCTCGTGTCTCCCTATTTAAGGGACTCATCAAACAGACGGTGGAATGTTACCTAGGCACTCATTGCAAGTTTGGATAATTGTCTCCAAATGAACTTTCTCTCCATGCTGGGTCTGCGGAACAGTTCAGAAGTAGAGCTAGCAATGTGCTTCAACTTTTCCTGTTCCTGCAGCTGGAGATGGCCGAAGGGGGCTGCTGTGTGGTGGTCTTTGAAATGTCATTCAATGAGTAGGGGCCTCCTGCCTAGAGGTGCACAGGTTGGCTTTGTATTTTTAAGTCTCAAGGTATTTCCCAGTGCTTGAGCCAGGGCAAGGTGGGGGAGGGAGGGAAGGAGCTGGAGCTCAGATCACTATTCTGGATAGCTAGGATAGATGGCAGTGCAGTGGAAAGCAGTGACTTTACTGGGGGTGGGGGGTGGATGGTGCGGGGTGGGGGAGGGGGAGGGGGATTGACTCAACTCCCAGCTGTGCAATTTGCTCATTGTTTGAATGGACAACAGGCAGTTTACCCAGGCTCATAGCATACCTGCCTGGGTGTCCAGATGTAACTAGATGCTTTCCCAAACCCCACCCACAAAACAGCACATGTTTTTAAGTCCTCAGTTTTCTATTCACATCGGCCTCATAATACCCACCCTGACCTGCTGTGCAAAAGCCCCGGGGCCTTCCAAAATGACTGCACCTCCTGTGAGTACCCTCTCGTGGCTGCTGGCCTCCCGCTTCAACTGGGGATTTTCATCCTTGGTCAGACACCTGGAATCAATCGATACCCCACTTGTTTGACACAGAAAGGCCTTTGGAAACGTGAATTTATGCATGAGTTTTTGAGGAAAGTGTTGCGAGTTCGGGACTGGGGTTTTTTGTCCTCTATTTCTCAGTCTCTTCCTTGGCCTCTTCCTATCACATCTATGCCTTCTCTCTCTTCATTTTCTTTGTGGGTGATGAGATAAGGGGCCGAGGAAATGGAGAACATATGGGGAGACTTGTTTTGAGCTTCTCTTAGTCCCTACGCAAGTCGGTTACTGTTTTGTGTTTGGGGAACACGATGTGATAAACTCTGGTTCTCTGTGGGTGTGTTGGACCAGTCTCTGAGCTAAAGGAAAAAGTACCAGAGGTCCTAGAATTGTAAGTACTGATATTTATCAGGCAGGGCTTTTCAATACAACTCCACACAGAAAGGAAAATAAAAATTGGTAAAGCAATTTCCAGTTTTTAGCTTCTAGAGATGACTATGTCTTGCTGGATGTAAATGCACTCTCCCTTAAAATAACGATTAAAATGTAGTTTGTGACAGCTCATGACAGTCTAAATTTACAAAGGCTGTGAGATTGAGTAATAGTTCCTGTGGAGTCGGTCCAAACTAACCATTGCAGGTACCTGGCCTTCAGCACTATCTGCAAGTCAGCAGGGATTGGGGGGGGGTATGTTCCAAAAGTGAGTTTGCTGGAATATTATTCACCCTGGGGCTGATCTGCTGACAGCATGTAGGGATGTGTCCTCTAAGACCAACCCAGGGGATTATAGGGCAGCTCTTTCATAAAGAACCATGAAGCCCTGTTGGGTTGGATTTGTTCAGGTTTCCATGAGAAATACTAAAGGGGTCCTTCATTCGTTCCATAACTAAGAGACATGGGTAGATATTAGCTCATTTCTAGGAAATTCTGTGTCTTTGATTGTATAGAGATGGAAAGCTTCCTTGCCAAACTCCTACTGAGAAAATGGACTAAGGGTTTAGCTGAGGCCATCCCTCCTCTGTAGCTGCACGCTCTCTTTCATGACGATATGTCAGTAGGCAGCATTCTTTCCATCTTCAGCTGCTTTGCAAGCACTATTAAGTATTTACCTTGTGCTATCAAGAAGTAGGGGCTTGGGGTTCCTTGCTCCCTCCAAATGCTAGGCTGAAGATCTAGCCAAAATGTGGAAATGTGTTTAAAATAATTGAGCAAAATTTGCCAGGCATGCAGAAATGTTAGGTTGAGAGATCACATAGGACAGGGAAAGCAGCCATAAACAAAATGTCTGGTTCTCATTCTCCTAACCAGATGTGATTGAATGAATGTCCCCCAACTATGAGATTTAAAAAAGCCTCTTTAAAAAAATATAGCTCCATGACCCGTTTCATAGAGTAGGTCACCTAATACCATGTTGGTAACTCTTTTCATGCTGCTGGGGCATATGCATCTGTGAGAGATACAGCTGGTCACCTGCTCACCTTGGGAGCTTTCCTGGAAGAAAGCTCATGCTGACTCCACAAGTAGCGATATGGGGAAGTATTTGTCTTCCTATCTGTCTGTTTCTTAGAATGAAGACAGACTTGAGTCACAGGAACCATGACTTTGGCAGGGATGATACTTGGCTATCAGCCATTGACTAACTTGTGCCAACCAGAGGTCCCTTGATGGATTTTGTTATAAAAATGATAGAATGACACATGAGTGCCTCCAAGAGATTAAGTCAGAATTCCTGTTGCTCAAGAAAAGGCTCTTGTGGGTTTTAAGCCCAGTGCCCTGCACATAGAAAAGTAGTCTCTGTGTGGACCTCTCTGGTAGTGGACTTGAAGAGAGGAACTTTGGAATGTAAGAACTGCTTTTATTTCCTGTTAAAGTCCAGAAAATGATTTCTAGGCTCCCTGACCTCCTGCCGTCCTCCCTTTTCCTGCTTGTCACTCTCCCCCAAGGCAGGCACAGAAACTAGAAACCTCTTCCCAAGGCAGCCATAAAACATGACATTTGCTTCTAACCTCCCCAGACTTTCTGTAGAGGAGCTGTCAGAGCAAACTCTGCTGCCTGCCTTGTCTAATGGCTGGTCATCGGCCCCTTCTTCCAGGGCGGGCCTGAACCCTGTACCCAGGACTTAGGCATACTGGGTTTCCCACCTCTGCCTGCTGCCATTAGATCAGAACTCTACCCTCTGCCCATGCTCCATTGAACCAAATCATAACAGCAGTAACAACTAATAGGAGGGTTTTCCCTCATTTGAAAGTTCTCTCCTCACCTAAGCCTGCATTTTGTTATAGAGGTATAGTCTATGACCTTTATGGTGTTCAAAGAAAGGCATCAGACCTTTCTGTCACTGTGCTTTTGTGAGATGATTTCATTCCTAAATCCTCATGCTTTTCCTGTTTCTGGATTGTTTGTTTGTTTTCCACTTGTGGCTGTGTTAGCTGATAATATTCTCAGGTAAGCTACCTCTTTATCTTCTCCCTCCTTCCCTCCCTCTCTCCCTCCCTCCCTCCCTCCCTCCGTCCCCCCTCCCCACACCCTTACTCTCTGAAAAGCTGTAATGATGTATTTTCACAATACTTTTCTAGCCCGTGTAATCTTAATCTATTGACAGAAAATGACGTCTTGGCTAATTTAGTATTTTGATCAATAATAAATATAATGAATATATGGACCATCTGCAGATAGCCATGTTTGAGAGCATTTAAATGAAAAGAGTTTCACTACAAAGCTGAGCAAATTTAACTTGTGATAATTGAGATGTTTTATCAGGTTCTCAGAATCACATGGGAATCCCCCACTAAAATAACAGCCATCTTTTGTCACCCAGTAAATGTTTGTAGCCCTTTTACCCCATTTATTTGTAATATGAACGCATTAAAAAACAACAGGAGGACTTCTGAAGATCAAAGGAACTAAACATGGGTTATCTGATGTCAAGACAGACTCAGGTCAGGCCCCACAGGGGCCCTTCATGTCACTTGCTCCTCTAGGCCAGAGAGTTTTGATGAATGATGAGAAGGGCATCCCGAGAATCAGGACCCAGGACACCCGACTGACCCTCCCTTTTCCCTCCGGCAGATAAAGATACACATCATGTCATCTTCACATCTCTTCTACCTGGCCTTCTGCTTGCTAACCTTCACCAGCTCTGCTACAGCTGGACCAGAGACCCTCTGCGGGGCCGAGCTGGTGGACGCTCTTCAATTCGTGTGTGGACCGAGGGGCTTTTACTTCAGTGAGTAGCTCTCCTGCACCTGCTCCCTCCATCCTTCCCTGGGTTACGACATTCTGAAGTGTATGGTTTTGAGCATCTACAACTGCAGAGATTGTGTGACTAACTGAATGACTTCCCATGGCTGACAGCCTTCCTCAGGCCCTGAGAGCCCCCTTAAAACAAACATAGCAGGGTTTTGGCGGGTTGGGGAGATTTAGGGTGGAACTTTCTTCCTTAAGAGTTTGCCATTAAGGCTTCCTCTTGAGCCTTTCTCCATCTTTTCTGGTCTATCTCCACTCTCATATCCCTTCTAATGAAGGAATAGGACAGAACAGCCCTGGAGTATTGGAGATTCTGCTCTTAAACCTCTGAGCGCATATGTAAACATACGGAAGACATGCAGGGCTACTTTGAGTGTTCTGTAATTAGAGTAAAATGATAATGATCCTCCCACCCCAAATGCATGTAAACTTGAGAAATGAATTAAATGGAGGACAAATTAGAAGTCACCATGCAATACAAAGCCATCATGAGTGGACAAAAGCTGATCTTTGCCAAGATGTGTTTGTAGATATATAGGCTTTCTCTAACAGCATACTGGAGTGACATGCCAATATGCCCTCTTTGCAAAGTGACCTTGATATTTTGTCACTATTTCATTTTATGTAGTTCTTCCCTGGGTATTATATTCACCTGGAGAGGATTCTTTGAAATATTCAGCATCACATACCTTATAAGTAGGTCTCAGACATAAGAAAGTCAAATAACCAGTGGAAAAGAGGCAAAGGAGTCAATGTCTGTAAATAACACCCGCCAACAAGTCGATGTCCACCAAGGGACACCTCCATATCACAGTGTGTTACAATGTAGTGAAAAACAGAAAGACAGGTGTGAATGCTATACATTCTCCAGGGTTCCTATCAATCACATGCAGACGGTTGACCTCAGTGACCCACTAAGCTTTCTTTGCACAGCTACTGTGATGACTCAGGTTTTGAAGCCTCTTGTCTTCTCTCTACATATGCCAGTCTCTCTTGAGGCAGGTGGTAATGGTGTTGGCTGGTGTGGTGTGGTGGTGTGTGGTGTGTGGTGTGTGGTGTGTGGTGTGTGTATGTGTGTAAGAATGAGGCAAAGTTTCTGAATACAAGTCTGGAGATGGGCAAGGGAAGTATTAAGGAGACTGGTAATGTGTATTTGCCATGGTTTTGGCAAAATAAAATAAAAAAGACGAGTGACAGAATATTATCAAAGTGTCAGATGTACTTTTAGCTGTTTGAATGGGAAAATATCCACTTTGTGCTTCCTGTCAGTCCTTTATTCAAATAAGTTCATTTAAAATTCTGGCAATAAAATAGTTCCATCTAGTTCTCTGTTGCAGCATAAATGAATAAGTGCAGTGGATGGGTGATTTTTTTTTAATACCAGACTTGTTTCATCTTTAAAAACATTCTATAGAAAGTAAACATGAGTTGTCAACATGACCACAACATGAATTGTGATCATTCTATAATTTGCTGAAATAGATCCATGCTTTCATTTTGAAAGGTATGAGCGAGTCTCACCTCTGATTACTAAGGACTTTGTCTTGCCTTGGCAACCCACTTGTGCAACATCCTTTCATCCAGATTGCTAATAATTTCCACGTCTGCAAGTGCCCGCCCTCTATTTAGTGCCAGGTTGAATCGTAAAATTTGTCATGATGTCCTCCAGGATTTCCATGCATGGTCCATGACTACCTGATTCTTCTATACCTGTGACATTTGCAGCAGATAATGAAAACTAAGACAAGAAATAATGACTCAACCTGGCCGTTACTTACACGTGTTCACACAGACACTTGAGCATTGAACACTGACAATGGAAATCAATTTGAACAAGCTGAAAAGGTTTTTGCACTTGATCAAAAATTTTAGTAAATGTGTTTAAGTTGTATTTTAATAACGTCAAATGAAAAGAATCCATATAGGCACTTGATATTTAAAACAGGAGACTGGTAATGTGTATCTATCATGGCTTTGGCAAAAATAGAATGAAAAAAGACAAGCCACAGAACATCATCAAAGGGTTCTGGACACAAATGGCTTTGTGAAGCATGGGCCATTGTCAATTCTGTCATTAGGAGTATTTCTTTCTTTCTTTAAAAATCACATTCTGCCTTACAGAATTCCATGGTTTAAACTGTATCCCTTGGCTGCCTTTGTTCCTTAAGCACAAAGGTATTCTTGATAGCTTTCTGTTCAACAACACAATCGTCTCTGTCTGAGAAAAGCTGATCCTTTACATTTCTTTAGTTTACTCAAGAACATTGGGGAATATTTGTCGTACAATAGCACAAGATATAACTGAGAAGCCCAGAGATGAATGACAGCCTGACCTTGCCTTTAAAACACTCAAGTCTAGACATAGGTTAGAAAAAAATGTGTATCGTATGCCATAGGAGAAAAGAACCTTGGGAGAAGAGCTTACATTCTTAGTTCTCTTCCTGAGTATCCCATCCCATTTATGACATGTCTTTACAAGGTTCTGCCCTCTAAGTGAACCCCTCAAAGGCCATAGCTATTTATTTTTAAGATTGCTGTCAAGTGTCTGACTGATACAGTAGTTGTTGGTATTTACCAATTTGAACTGGCAAGATTGAATCCAAGTAAGCTTAATAGAACTGCTTCTGTGGAACTCTCATAGTAGGAACCATCAAGAATTATGACTGCCCAATATTTTAGGACATACTTCTCACCTCATGCCTACCCAGTTAACTTGAAACTGTTTTGCTTTTTTTCCCACTGAATGCGATGTATGTATATCATCAACAAGAACTTAGAAGCTGTACTCTGGCCATCCCTAAGCTACACTGATGGGCTGTTTTGTTCCTGAGCCAATTATTCTCACAGGCATTAACTGTTGTCAACAAATTTTATTGAGCTTCCTTTTCATCCCGAGATTTACTGTGTGTGGCAAAGTTAGTGCTAAGCATTTACAGTCCTCGAAGCACCTTTTACAGGGACGCACTCTCCACTTTTCTGAACCTCCAATTGACACTTACTGGGTTTTCCTCTTGTTTTCAAGGTTTTATTGTACTCATACCATTTTATCTTAAGCTATTTCAACTCTACTTTGGAAGTATGTATTCTGTTAATAGTGGAAGATAGTTTATGATCTTAGTTTGATATCTAAACATTTGAGAGAATTTTGCTTCTATCTTTTTTTGGATAAAACAAAATGTTTAACTAGAAGATGTTTTGGATTCTTTTAGAACTGTTCTAAGTAAGTTGTTTGTTTGTTTGGTAATTCTTGCTTCATGTAAATTGGTCCAATTTTGCAAATGAGTGCACATTCCCCTTGTGCCCAAGTTCTTTGGGAGCACACCAGACATAATCTTCAAAATGCTGTTGTGTGTATGTCTTCCCAGCATAAGTAGAACAGTTGATCCCAAATTAATGCAGCTTCCCTAGATATTTTACAAAATGAAGGACCCAGTGAAGAACTAATTATGGTTTCTTCCCCATGTACCAAAGAAAGAATATGTCACTCAGGCTTGTGCTCTCTTGGTCCTGTGAAGAGAGCAAATATCAGTAGGAAAGAGCCTGTATTAAGTCATGTGCTGGACCCACACAGAGGGTGTCCCACTGTAACTTTGTTTTGTCTGAAGCACACCAGTTGGTAAGATGAAATGAGAGAAGTTAAGCTTGCCATAGGTATAATTTTTGACAGCTATGGTGATTAACCATTTTAACATGCTGTTTGGGAACTTCTGGTATTTCTCCCCTTTGAGGTATGTAAAAAGTTGACAGGCAACCAACCATCTTGAATGGTTTCAATTAAGAGTAACCAGAAGAAAGAGAGGTTCTGGGGTCCTTTCTAGTTTAAGAGTCTATAAACAGTCCCTTAAATAAACTGTATATGCTTTACCTCGGGCGGTCCTGGGGAAAGGAGAAGTAAATCAATTAGAAAGGAAAGTTGGAAACCCTTTCAGCTACCCAGATTTATGGTTTTTGTAAACCATCCCTACAATGCATGCTTATTAAGAACAGATCTGAATAAAGGAATGGCATCCTTCGTGTGTTAAAGCATACTGTTTTTAAAGAGTCTAATTGAAACTTTGCAATCAGTTTTCATTGTTATTGATTGCACAAACCTTCCTCAGACTTCTTCCCTTTGATATACAGAGCTCAGGGAACTACCCTCGACCTGCCAATCATTATCTGTGTGATTTTGGCAGGCATTAAACTTCCTGGGCTGAAATGTCCTTGTCTATAAAACAAGAGGATTTTGTTAAAGTAAACGACACTTAACTTTAACAGATGATGACTAGGTTGTGACAGCAAGCATTCATGCTATTGAAAGGAGAACCCTGAGTTTAACTAGTGACTGAGGAACATTTAGCTTCTTTTGTCTTCTTGACATTATTTCAGTTGGTCCCCAAAGGTAGACAATCCATTCACTTCAAGAAATAAGAGCCAGCTGACCTGCTGTATTTTAATTTGGGTTTTACTTCTCCAAGGACAAACTGGAAACTCAGGGCCACAAACTCCCCGGTCATAAGCCCAAGGTTGTCATCCCTCTCTGCTATCAAGGACGGTCTGATGGCTGTCATCTTTACACTTTCGCATTGCCTTGACTTTCAGAAGCAGTGAGGAAGTCTGCTCACTAGCAAGGAAGAGGACGCTATGAACCTATTAGAAAACTGTTAGGTAGGACCTATTAGATACAGCAGTCAATTTGATACAGTCTGTCCAACGAAAGAAGAGGGGGCATTCAAAAGGACACATGGCTGCCACTAGCTGTGCTTTGGGCCATGTGGATTATGAGATCCATTCACATGCATTTCTTTGCACAGCATCCCTCTGGGGATTCCAGCCACGCATGTGTGTGAGTGCTGGTCCAAGTTAGGGGTGAGTATGATCACTGCCCATGGAAAAACTATGCTCTTTGAAATTGATACATGTGGAAGTGACCTTATAACCTTGCCCTCATCAGTACATTGAGCTAATAGACTACAGATACTGTTTGAAAAAAAGGCACTG